ACTGGTTTGCACAGGGAGAGGGATGCCAAAAGCCTGACTGTTAAAAAATATGTTACCCCTTTGCTGGCGTGTCAGGCTTCTGGGTTCCCCTCCCCTGAGCTCAATTATAAGCCAACCAGTTTAAGGTTTGGGAAATTAACTTTTTAGTCTGAAGGATGCATTTGAGAGGAGTGTCCTATAGTATGGAGACACAATTACCCATCTGTGAAGAGAGGAGCAAGGGGGGAAAAGAAGGCATTTTTTTCAAAGGACCCCGGATGCAGCAGTAAGGGGCCAGACTGAAGAAGAATGGCTACTCATCTAGCAAGAGGGAGCAAGGCATCCCTGGTTCCTTTCTCTTCCTAGCGAATGCCTGCAGTACAAGAAAAGAAGGAAAAAGCTTCCTCTTTCCTTCTTTCATCCTTATACCCCTGAGTCCTGGTGACCACAACAGGGTGCCACCCGTGGGTGTCAATTCAATGTGGCTTTCACTCATGTTAACAGGAGGGCCTAGGGTGTGGAATTACCTACAGCTCCCCCACACATTGCCTTTCCCCTGCTGTAAGTAGCCTTTGAGTTCCCTAAACCTCATATATGCCATGGATACTTGCATGACCTCAATCTGTGAAACAGGAGGTTTGGCTTAATCTGCAGGAATTAGTTATGCTCATCTGTGGTGTGTGCCTTTTAACTACCATTGTCATCTGCCTTGGACCCCTGAGATCCAGTTTTCTTTCCTAGGGCTTCAACCCAAAGCTTAGAGTTGAGTTTGGGACAAATTAATTACCTCCCTATCATAAGCCAAACACTCAGGTGAAGCTCTAAAATTGGGTCCTCTCAAACAAGGGAGGTAAAAGGGCATCTTGTGAATTGGAATCCTGGCCTAACAAAACACCTTTCAAGAAAAATCCTCTGGCATTGAGAAGCCCCCTATACTCACAGGGGTGTGTTATTAGGTTGTTGCAAAAGCAACTGTGGTCCCCTCCAATCTAGGTAATAGCAAAAACTGCAGCTACCTTCACACCAATCCATTAACTCCTGATCTGGTGGAGAAAAAAAAAGAACAAAATAACAGCAAAAATCCAGTTTAAGCATAGGACAGTGAAATGCCTGAGGAAGAAACCTCTTGTTTTTATGCAAATGACTTTCTCCAACAGGGAGAGAAACTTTTAATTGCTGTCCACTGAGCTGGACCTCTTGGCCGGGGGAGGGGAAGTATATGGATGTGTGTCAGGGAACACTGGCCAGCTGGCTGCACACCTCAAGATTGCCCTGGGGCCCGGGCAGCACCTGTGGCTCAGTCCCACCCTGCATGGTTGTTGGAGGCTGAATGTACATGCAGCAATCACAACCACGTGCCCCAGCAGGGAGTGAACAGGGGATGGGGGCAGGGCGCCACTGTTTGCCTGTTTTCCTTATGTGACAGCTGTTGGGGTTGGGGTGGAACACCCCTGATATTGTAAAAGAAAAGATTGGTAACAATACATTCCTGAAAAAAAGAAGGAAAATGCCATAGCAAAGACTCAGTTAGACTGGGGCCAATATTCCCAAACCCAAAAGCAACGGGAGGTTGGGGCGGTGGGGGGGTGTGCAGTTTCCTCTGACTTCAGAAAAACCCTGAGGACTGGAAGGCCCAGAAATGAAAGTGAAAGAGATTTGAAAGTGAAAGAGTTCACATTTTACTCACCCTTCGTCATGTCCCCATATAGGCTACGATATGCAGGAATTTTTGCTCCTTACTTTAGGTACTTGTCTCACAACCAGGAAAAATTAAGCATGCAGATGCATTGAAGGGTGAAGAGGGTGGAATTTATTAAGAGAAAGAAAAGCTCTTGGCAAAGAGAGGAGTACTGCATGCAGGTTTTCCACCTCACAAGTTGAATACCAGGCCACCATACATGAGCTGAAGAGGCCAGGATTCTCCCCCGCTTAAGGGATGAATTTCTGGTGGCTCCACCCCATTTTTCCAGTGCACACGTGGGCCCTTAGTCGGAGCCACTCCATATTTGTTTATTTTCCTTACTGAGCATGTGTTAAGGGACAGAATTTTTCACCATGGGCATGTTTAGACAGGCCTCCTGTGCATAATAACCTGGGCAGATTGGAGGTTCTCTGTGAATCTTCCCTTATCGACTAGACATTTGTCTGTGTCCTGCCTCCATCATTAGGTATTAAAGTTCATTTTTCCATTTGGTTGGCTATTTTTCTGGCTTTCATCATTAAATTACAGGTGGCGATTTTAATGAGCTTCTGCATGGATTCTGAAAGGATGTGTAAAGAGCACACACTTAGGATTTGGCAGATTTTTCCTTTTAAAGAGCAGATAATTCCTTGCCCCGTATCAGTCAGGTGGTGAGTGGAGGTATTGGAATTTAAAACACAATTGTTTTATTCTGAACTCTTTGTTTTTGTTTGTTTCTGATATTACCAAGTTAAAATCTTGTCTTGAAAGAGCTGTTTTAAGGTATAGTTATGTTCCAAAAGCAGATCCAGAGAAAAACTTTCAGCAATTTCTAGTCCTTTGCTTCTTCTAGAAGTTCACATTTTATTACCAGCTTTTAAAACAGCAACAAGGACAACAAGGAACCAGGCATCACTTGTTAAATGCATATGAAAACATGTGATGTAATGTGGCTTTGAGGCTGCTTCTTCAAATATTATTTGGAATTATGAATTTTTAAAATAGAGATTCTTTACACAAAAATGTACTTAATTACATAGTGTTTACTATGTGCCAGATGTCATTCTGATGCTTTAAAAATAGTAAATAATGTGTTTCTCCTAACAAATCAACAAGTAGGTAGTAGTATTCTCATTTTCTAGATGAAGAAATTGAGACACGGAGAGCTTACATTGTTCACAGCCACACAGCTTGTGTTGGATTCAAAAGTTGATCCGGGTAGTCTGACCTCAAAGACCATGCTGCTTATCATCTGTTATACTGCTAAACAAAATGCTGACTATGGAAGACCTAGGAGCAGAAGGAAGTTACCATCAGTAACTTTGCTTCTAACCACAATGCTTGTGAATATTTTGATCCCACTGATTTACTGCAATTTTGCAATAAAATCAACTCCTGGTTCCTCAGGGGCCTTCATACAAGTTGAAGATTAGCTATCAATGTTGGTCACTCACGCAAACAAATGTGGAATACTTGACTTTACTAGGCTGTCTCTAAGGCTCATTCTTGGTAAGAATAGGTGCTCCTGTTTAAAGAAACTTTATTTGGATCCAGTGTCTGACTGTTGGCCTAATCGCCATATTTTGAAGTGTTGGCTGCATTCCTTGCAGCGAATTGCTTTTTTGGAAGTACCTCTCCTACGTGAGGCTATTATTAACATTTTTTATATTATTCAGAGTTTTCAGTTATGTAGTTCACACTACTAGTAGAATTAACAGTATTCTGTGGTGATGGTGGTAATTTATTTAATATGGAAGAAAATGAAGTCTTTCTACTGCCACCAAAATAAATATCTGAAGTGTTCTTGAATTAATCAATAAGCAAAATGAAACTAAATTAAAAAGTTAGATTAAGGTACAGGCAGAGTCTTGGAACTATTAATAAATGAAGTTTTGGTTTCATTGTTTTATTACCTGAGATTACATTAAGTTAAAAAAAGCAAACATCATATGTAAACTTAATTGGCACATGACCAAATCTGTAAAACCTTACTGTCTCTAATGGTATTCCTGAATATTGTATTTAATTTTAGGTTTGTCACAAATAATACGATAATAAATGTGGTCATACTCCATATATTTCCCCCACTATTATTACATAGGAAGAACAAACTTTCTATTCTGAAATTAATTTTAATCTTACCTGCTAGGAATTTGAAAAAAAAAAAAAAAAAAAAAAAAACCAAGAGCATCAGCCACACAAATTTCCTCCTTGCCCTATTTTTAGTTGCATCTCAGCACATTAAACTGGGTGAAAAATATTGCCCTTCAAGAGCTCCTTATAAGGCGCATCCCTTGCACGCTCTTGATCTGACGTATGTGGCTTTATTCCAGCCTCCTCTCTGTAGGTCTTCTAGTCCTTTCAGATGCCCTGCTGGATAGAACCCAAGACTACTCCACTGGCCTTCTTCTCCACGTCGTCTATATATATTTCCCAGAAAATACTCACGCACCATTGTTCCTGCAGTCACAAGGAGTTTTGGCCAACTTAAAATAGTACCATTTTCTTGCCTTTGTCCCCAAAGTACCCATATGCTTGTCCTCAGTTTCCCTGGTAGGAGTCAGTTTCTGGCCTACTGTCGTCATCTGCAAGGAGAAACCAAGTTCTCCACTATGGCTCCTGTGAAACGCTCTAATTAAGTGTAAGGCTGGAAGGTGTCTTCCATCACAATTTCCCCTAATAGGTATGGAGATCTTCAACACCACCACAATTCTCTCCAAATAATCATTTATATAGTTCTACAATGAGTATCAGAGTAAGATCTTAACATATGTTTCTTTGGAAAGTGTGCATATGAAGTTTTAGAGGGTTGTATCAATTGAGCTTGGCATTTAGTTGAAATGCTAAGGTTAATCTCTTTTTACATTGTCAAAAGCAATAATCACCATTAGTGACAAGCAAAAAAGATGGAAAATTCCTTTCTCTCTGAGTGCCTGCTGTATGTATGTGTATGACTCTGTATTGGCTTGTTCACATTGATAGCCTGATTTAATCACTGCAACAACTATGTGGGGTGGGATTATTATTCCCAATTTAGCGAGGAGGAAACAAAGTTTCAAAGAGTAAAATTTTCAAGGCATACAGATACTGTGGAAACAGAAATATCTAACTAGAAAGTTCTTTCTCTTCCTGCTATGTCATCACAGGTAAGAGGTGCATATCCCATTGCCAATGTTAGCCCAGGACAGCCCATCGTATTTCTCAAATAGGCACCTTCCTTTTGCTAAACTTGGATATAAAAGTTGTTTGAGGTCACTTCTTCTTTTAACAATTTTGAACATAGCACAAAATTTTATCATTTGGTTGGATCTTAAAATATATGTTTACATTTTTTTTCCAGACAATAGATTTTGAAGGTTTCAAACTATTCATGAAGACATTCCTGGAAGCCGAGCTTCCTGATGATTTCACTGCACACCTTTTCATGTCATTTAGCAACAAGTTTCCTCATTCTAGTCCAATGGTAAAAAGTAAGCCTGCTCTTCTCTCAGGTGGTAAGTATGCTTACTTTAAACATTTATATGTAGTAAACATCTCAAAGGCTAAATCGTTTTCATAAAAGAGAAATGATGATTTGCATTAAAATTATTTTGTTGCAGGATTTAGACATTTACAATAAGATTGTGGAAATCATTTAAAATATTTCCAGTATAATTACAGCTAATTAGAAAAAAACATATCTTTATCACTTGCTTTAAATTTCTATGTTTAGATAATAATTTGAAGAAATATTTCCACCAAATATAAAAACCTCTTTTTAAATAACTAGGTAAGTATAGATTGCTGAGTATTTGAAAATGTGGTCACAAAGCAACTATAAAAAACGTATAATATTTAATATCTATTGTACTAATTGCCAGTATACTTTCACATGTTTAGATTTGTAAGCTCAGAAGAGAGATTTGGTTTTTTAGATACCTTAAATTTGTGTCACCATAGAAATGGTGGTTCTCTCTTTATGGGTATTTTTTATAGATACATAATTATGTTAATACCCGTTGTATTAATCTCCCTCCAGTCAGGAAAACAGCCATTTCACTATATTACCCAAAAGAATGTAAAACAGGAAATTGGTTAAACTATTTTGGATGACTGAAAAGGCAAAATGAGAAGACAGGTGATGTAGATAGACCCACAGGAAACCTGCCCTGCCCCTAGATGGCAGTAATCAAAACCTAGAAGCCCTGCGGAAGGATTTCTTGAAGCCGGGATGCAGTTCTGAGGTGAGGGGGTTGCCAGGCGGACCTCGCCCTTGGGCTTCAGTGGAAAAGATACTTCCTGGCCGCCTTGGTAGCTCAGGAATTCAAGACGGGTCTATAGCCCAGGAACTCAGAGCTCTGAGGAGTGTGTATCACCATGGCCTGTCCAAACTGCTTAGCGGAGAGCTCATTGTGCCTTTGTCGGCGGGCAGACTAGATCCTACACTGGACAACGTGCTACCGGCCTGAAACGCTGCAGAGATTCAACAGGAGGAACAGGTTCTTTGGTGGAACCAGACCCTTCCTCCCGCCCCCGCTCCCCTGCACACCACGCCGCTGTCCCAATTCCCTTGCTTTCTCATCTCTCTCTGGTGCCCTCTATGGATGGAACGGGAATCCCCTGGCAATGAAGAAATGGCTACAGCAGTGTTTCTCACTAGCTGATCACAGGACACTTTGAACTCTTAAAAAAAAATTGACCTGAAGAAACTTACTTTTATGTGGGTAATATCTATTGATTACCCAATAGATATCACCATATCTCTTGATATCACCATATTGATACAGATATCACCATAATGATATAGATATCACCATATTTAATATTTATTTATATTTCACATTTAATATGGTGATATCTCTTGATTACCCAATAGATATCACTATATTAAAGGTGAAACCTTCCAAAAATAATCAAGCCACTACCTGTTAACAAAAAATAACTCATTCTTATGAAAAGTAACTATTTTCAAAAATAAAAAAATAAAATAGAAGGGTAGCATTGTTTTGCATCATTGCAAATGTCTTTAATGCCTGACTTCATGGAAGACAGCTAGGTAATTATATCTGCTGCTGTTTCTGTTGCTGTATCATATGTCATATAGCCTCTTGAAAACATCACTGTACACTCTAAGGAGAATAAGAGTAAGAAAAGCAACTGATAATATTATTATGGAAATTATTTTGACCTTAAAAATCTCCTACACGGAGTTCAGGGATCCCAGGAAAGCCATAGGTCTAGACAGACCCAGCTGTAGCGTCACAAAGTAGAATACACAAGTGTTGGTTAATAGGCCTGGAGCGGTGGCTCACATCTGTAATCCCAGCACTTCAGGAGGCCACGGTGGCGAATCAGAAGGTTGCAAGGTCAGGAGTCTGAGAGTAGCCTGGCCAACATGGTTGGGCATGGTAGTAGCTGGGCATGGTGGCAGGTGCCTATAGTCCTAGCTACTCAGGAGGCTGACACAGGAGAATCACTTGAACCCAGGAGCCAGAGGTTGCAGTGAGCTATGATCACGCTGCACTTCAGCTTGGGCAATAAACTCCACACACACGCTTTGTGTGCATGCGCACGCATGCAAACACACACACACACACATGAAGTATTGGTAAAGAGATAAGTTCAATAGCAGACGTTCTGATAAATCAAAATGCAAGAATATGTAATTAAGAAATAGGTGGTTAAGCCATAAACAAAACTTAGACAATGAATTAAAAGTACTTAGCCTTATGTTGTGCTGTTTCCCCACCTCCCTTTTTTTTTTTTTTTTTTTTTTTTTTTTTTTTTTTTTTTTTTTTTTTTTTGAGACAGAGTCTCACTCTGTTGCCCAGGCTGGAGTGCAGTGGCTTAATCTTGGCTCAGTGCAACCTCTACCTCCTGGGTTCAAGAGATCCTCCTGCCCCAGCTTCCCAAGTAGTTAGAACTACAGATGCATGCCAACATACCTGGCCAATTTTTGTATTATTAGTAGAGATGGGGTTTTGCAGTGTTGAGCAGGCTGGTCTTAAACTCCTGGCGTTAAGTGATCTACCTGCCTTGGCCTCCCAAAGTGCTGAGATTACAGGCATGAGCCATGGTGCCTGGCCTTCCCTTCTGTTAATACTATAAGGTATCTTTCCTAAAGTACTCACGTTAGTAGAAGCTTTTTTAAAACAACTGTACATATTTCACAAGTTCACATATTCCTTCAAGGTGTGTGATGACTAATATGTTTGTCATCATTTTTCACTTCTTATAAAATATTTTTAATTTTTGAAATAATTATCTTTCAAGCATGAGCTGAGAGGCCTCATCACACTTGCTGTTTTTCTCAGGATGAGTTTCAGTGGATTTGTTCTTAAGGGGTAGCATTATAGTTTAATAGGGTTTTGAGCTGAACATTTAAAAATTATTCAATTACTTTAATCTAGAAATTAAAACTATCGTGTTCTCTGCTGCATGCTGTAAATGTATCACACATACCTTAAATTGAATTAAATAAGAAAGTTGTCCTGCATTTAATTCTACATCATGTGATACTGTTCTTGAATTTTGAGAAAGAAAAGAAAATATTTCTGGATGATGTTGTCTGTAAATAACTGTATCACACACAGAAGAAAGAAAACAATTCTGATAATTAAGGTGGTTTTGTAAGAAATTCAAACCTAAAACTTCCATTTCTTCTAATAGCATATATTAAGTACTGAATATAAGGTGCCAGACTTACTAGGGGTAAAAATCAAGTCATGTTTAAAAATGTAAGAAAAAAATAAGGAAAAACAGATTGTAGTTGATTTGGGACAGTTATACATTCTATACAGACATAAAAGGATTATGGGCTGTGTAACTCTCATACAGCAATGATACATTAAACTCCGATTCCTTTGCAAAGCTTGGCCTCCACTTATTAAAACTAAGGGCATTGTGTCCTCTCTAGAACTGTTTCTAGCCCTATATTTTATTCAGACCCACCTTTGACAGTTTTTTTTTTCCCTGAGGAATAAGAAACAATAGAAAACAATAAAATTTTCAAGACTGAGGTAGATTTGACTCAGAAACTGACAAAAGAAATGTCTTTCAATTCACAGAATCTTGCTTTGCGGTAATCTGTTATTTAATGTATAACAGGATGTTTTTGTAGCTGAAAAGTAACAGACTTTTGCCGGGCACAGTGGCTCATGCCTGTAATCCCAGCACTCTGGGAGGCTGAGGTGGGTGGACCATCTGAGGTCAGGAGTTCAAGAGCAGTCTGGCCAACATGGTGAATCCTGTCTCTACGAAAAAGCAAAAATTAGCTGGGCATGGTGGTGCACACCTGTAATCCCAGCTGCTTGGGAGGCTGAGGACTGCACTCCAGCCTGGGGGACAGAGTGAGACTCTGTCTCAAAAATAATAAATAAATAAATAAATAAGTAAATAAATAAATAAATGAAAAGGAAAAAAAACCCACACTTTTGAACAGATAGGGGCTATACTCTGCTTTGTTTATCCTGTTAGAGTTCACCATATTTCATTACCACAATACCAGCAGGAGTAGAGTAGCTATTCTTTTACTCTATATAGCAACTAAAAAATAAGGGCATTTCAACAAAAAAACAAAATGGAAAAGGAAAAAAATGTTACCCTCACTAATGAATGATAATTATAGGATATATGGTCAAAGTAAAACATTTAGTTTTATACAATACAAATTTAAAAATAGTTATAAACAGGTATAAAGGTTGTATGTGTGTAGACATGTGCATATGTATACCTGGGTTTTGTTGATTGTAATGTGTAATGATCTATTTGTCATTTCACGAAGTGAATGACTAATTTTTGTAAAATAATTTGTTGTAATATAATTACTTCTTATCACCTATTTTGAAATAAGGTCACTTCTTCTACTGTTGCCATATTTGACTTTTTATTTTTGAAGATATCCCTAATGCATTATCTCTTCAGCTTTTTCGTAACACTTCTGCATCATTGTAAATGTCAGGTCTCTAATCTCTCATCTCTGCCCGTTCAATGACCAATTTCTGATCTTGTTTTCATCCTTAGCGTCCACCACTTGAATTACCCTCTTTATACACTTTTTAAATCAGTTGGAATCTTTCTTCTGCTGCAACATGATTGCAGAAAGTTGGCTAACACTCATAACCTCAACCATGAATCAAAATTGTGATCTCCTCTATCAGTCCCTACAACTTGAACACTCAACATAACCTCCGTGAAATTTTATAAATATGCAGATTTCTGCCACTATAGATTCCTACTACCCAATATTTAAATAACCTTAAGACCTCTTCAGTTTTTTAAAATAAATTTGTAAAAATTATTTGTTATTGCCACTGTATCCTAGATCAATTATGTTAACTTTTTAAACTTTCTTAAGTTTATTTAAATACGTCGCCTCATTTCAACACCTGTATTTTTCTTGCATCATGTAAAAAATTGGCACTGTCAGAAAAAATGTAGCTTAATAACTCTCCACATAGCCCACCTTGCTCACAAATAATATTTATTTACTGTATTTAAGATGGAAATCTTTGGA